GGGGAGAAGAAGAAGAAGAAAAGACCAGGGTTGTGACAATAAGGGCTTATTCTCATTCTCACCCGACACAGCGATAGTGGAGTTTTGGCTCTCTTTTCTGTGCCGTCCCAAGGTCCCCCCTCTGCAAGATTTCCCTCCAAGGTGACACAGGACCGCAGGGTCGCAGACGATTAGGAGTGTCAATCTCTCCACATGGGAGCCTCGGCTAAGTGCGGGTGGGCGGAACATGTAAGCATTACTGATCGGACGTGGGCCATCATCGGTAGGGGTCGAGGGTACGAGTAAGTTGGTCCTTGACTTCTTGATCCTTGGAAAGAGTCTTGGATATATGCTCGCGAGTCCGCGTATCTGTAATCCGTATTGGTACTTCGATGCAGGCATGTCACCGAGTACTCGCACATCGGATGGGATGCGGCGGAGAGGAGGGGAGGGAGAGACAAGAGGCAGAGGGGAGAGACGACGACTGCAAACGGCGAAGCGGGTTGCGACGGCACCTTCCCCGAAACGTGGCCTCGAAGCCTCAGAGCCCTGGCTTTCCGTGCCAGTTCACGCTGTGGCTTGCGGTGGCTGGCGGTGGGACGGCAGGCGGCTGGCAGGGTGGCTTACCCCTGGGCAAATGAGCGAAGAGGGCGGCAGTTGGCACCTGCCGGATTCAATGTTGGAACTTGGCAACTGTCAGGGATCAAGCTCGGCCGACGGTGTGGGTGTTTGTGTATATTATGTCCGACAGAGTGGTGTCCATCTTTTCTGTCTTGCCTATCTCGTCTGCGTCTTTCCAGCAGAACCCAGAACCCAGGAAGAGGACGGGGGGACCTGCAACGGTGACGGTAAAAAAAAATAAAAAAATAAAAAAATAAAAAGTGAAACTGCAGGGCCATGCTAGCTCAGTCTCATGATGCAGGAGAGGTCGGTGACGTCCTTGCCTCTCACGTTTCTGGGGCTCTACTCATCGTTGAATCATGAGGACGATGGCATGCACGCACTCGTAATCTGTACACACAAACAGTATTACTAATCTGCACATGTCCGGAGGAATAGTACCATCTCTTTGCTCGTACGCACAGAGACAGGGGGGGGGGGGGCTACGGGAGCGTGTTGAATAGCGCGAACTACGATGCGCACACAGACACTTTTTTTCTCTTCTCTTTTTTTCCGTTCCCTCTACGGATACCGAATAATATACTGCATAGCAGTACCCGCACATGGCTTGGCTCACTCGTGCATGTAGAACCAGAAAGTCAGAAATGTTCGCAAATAATAATATTATGGGCCGGTCTGCTGGCTCTACTCTGCCTCTCTGTCTCTGTAACACTTTGTACATGTACTCGTACAGCAACCAGCAACTACACTGTATCGGCCTCTCTGAACACACGACGTGTACATCTGTACAGCTTCTCTTGTTCTTTCTTTTTTTTCTTTCTTTTTTTTGCGGTTTGCCCCTCCCCCCCCCCTGCTTTGGGCCATCCACTTAATCCTGTCGCCCCTCCCCCCCCCTAAATTCCCAAGCTTCGCGCCGGTCGTGGCTCTTCGGCCCACCAGCGAATTTACAAGATTTGTTGCAAGAGAAAGAAGTAGAAGGAAGAAAAGGTCCACTGTAATACAGGCCCGATGCCGCTCCCTGCAGCCTGTCAAGAGTTGGTACGGGTAGCTTCTGTGAGGAGGAAGGGGGGGGGAGTCTCGTCATTGCCTCTCTCTCTACTCTCTCTCTCTCTCTCTCTCCATCTATCTTTGGAGTACCAACCCTAATTTTGTACGGAGATAGAAGGCAAGAGGAGATATGCTGTTGGTTGCAGTCTTCATGCAGCTCTCCCTCTTCGTATGGAGTGATAATACTTGCTCTGCCACACCGTCAGTGGTGAGGGGGGCAACAGAATGGAGAGAGCTGATCAGTTTTGATGAGTGATGTGGAAATCTGACTGATTATGTAGGGAGCATGACTAAGGTGGGGAGAGAGGGAGAGTTCACTGTTATTGCTAGGTAGCACACCGTAGTATAAGGTTATACGAGTGGTGTCGGTCGGGAAGATGATGAAAAGTATAAAGTAAATCTCATCGAGGAGGAGGAAAAAGAAAAGAAAAGAGTGATGAGGGGGGGGGGGGGGAAGCAAAAAACATACATGAGCAAACAAGGTAAATGGAGGACGAGGTGTAGAGCTGATGCGACGGCTAAAGGCCTGGTTAATATTAGGACCCCCGCTCTCTCGACAGTGCGGACTCTCAAGGAGGCGTCGGTGCTGGGGTATCATACGCAGTATCCAAGGCATGTACGCAGTACTACTATATATGCACCACGAGTACGAGTACGTGTGATAGCATCCGTACGGGCCTGTCCTTGTAAAAGGTTCCTTCTTCGGCCCGGCGTCTGGTTAACGGTGTCGAGCGTGTGCGGGCGACGGAGAAGTACACCGTGGTCCTAGCAGTGCTGGCATCCTACTATAGTAGTGATTGATGATAGTCCTACTGCTAAGTAGCGATAGTAGTCTTACTAGCAGTAGTCCTGCTGATAGTAGCCCTGCTAGTAGCAGTCCTGCTGACGGTAGTCGTCCTGCTAGGCAATACGGCTCAGCTGTGGGTGGCAGTACGGACACCGCTAGTATCGCCGGAAAGCGCATACTGCACAGATGTCGCGTGGCATTGTCGGTCAGGAATCCACGGCATTCCCACGGATGGAAGTCATCGAGAGACCGTGAGGTGCTACCGTGTATCATCGTCTATCGCTAGGCCTAGGTACCGTATGGGGTCGCTACAGTCTAATCATGCCCCGCCCAGTGCCGGATCTGCGCCGGTCTCAGGAGTCCGGGCATTCAAGGATTGGGCGTGGGACCCAGCATGAGACATGCATGCTCGGATGCTGACTTTCTGGCCGGAATATGCAGGTGGTTCATCATCGCGGGACGTACGAGTATATATATGTACACAGGACTTGTACACGAGCGGTTTGTTAGCATGCGTCTGCCTGTCGTCTGCATGTACGTCGGCAGGAGAGGTGATGAAAATCTTTAGAGTGCAGACAATGCAGAAAAAAAGATGCATCAGACGTCGGCCGGTAACGAACCGTCGATGCGACGCACCGAGGCGGTATTATTCCCTTGTGAGAGCAGAGCTACTCAGATTCTACCACGTGAAGTATCACTACTGCTGCTGCTGCTGCTGCTGCTGCTGCTGCTGCTGCTACCGCGATGCCATGCTGTATATCGACGGATACGCACCTATGACCGACCTGCCGTCTGGGGAATACTCGGGGCTAGATGATGATATACGTACACATCACAACTGCGACGATGCCAGACATACATGCTTTCGACATGGTGTGCGAGTATGCGGATATCCGTACCTGTCCGTACCTGTCCGTACCAGTACTCGCGCTCGTCCAGGTTGGTGGAAGGGGGTCGACCATTGATCCCGGGGCTGGAGAGAGGAGGGGTAGAGAGGCATGGGGGCCCATAATACTTCAACAGGTATTCCTTGGTAGGGTCCTGGTAATACCACCGTACATACCTTCTTTTTTTTGGTCCCACGATGCCTTCCGTCTTATTACGTAGAGTGCCTGTCGACGGTGGTCGATGGTGGTGGTGGTGTGTCGTTTTACGACGTATTCCGTTTCTCTGCGGAACCTGCAGGCTGCAATAGCTGATATAGTGTGATATTGATCAACTCCATACATCATCTGCATGTGCTCCGTATACTCGTACTGCTGCCAATCCCTCTGCCAGGCTGCGCTCGTACCTCAAGGTCCCCAAGGCTCGGGCTGTCACACCCATCCATAGACCCGTTTGACCCATCCACCCAGTCGCCAAGAGGTCGCCAAGTCTCAAACCTCCAGAGTACGTTTTAGGGAAGAGTAGCAAGGTATCTAGCACCGAGTACCAGTTCACCTGCCAGACACTGTACGCCTAGCATCAGTAGTGGTGATGCAAGGCTTGCAAGTGGCACCCTACGAGCAGTGGAAGGCAGTGAGGTTCTACCGGTACATCTTATACTCCGCGTTATATATGTGACGATATCCTGCTCTGCCCTAGCGCCACTGTCTTGGGTGCTCGTACGCTGGGAATCGTGGCCGAGTACCGGTAACGCTGTAGGTACCGGCGACGACCCCGACCGGAAGAAGCAGTCCAGTAGGCACAGTAGGCACAGTAGACGGAGTAGGCACAGTAGATGCCGGGGCAGACAAGTACCTGTAACGTACGGGAATTACAGGGCGCTCCCCTCTGCATCTTCAGCCTGTACCCGTACCCAGGTACCGATGTCTTCCATCATCTTATCCACTGCGGACGCTCCCATACAACCATACATGATACAGTACGCACCACACTCACTCATCCGAGTCTCCAAGTCCCCGAGCGCCCCAGGTGAGGTCCCCCCTCCATGCATCCATCCCAGCTCAGGACCCTTCTCAGGCCCCCCCCCCCCTTCCTCCCCCTCCCCCCAGTGCCTGTCGTCCTGCTGCAGCGTGTCGCCGTCAGACGGGGCCCATGATCCTCCCCATCAACAAAGAACAGCTCGCTCCGTGACCTTGGCCCCAACTTGTAACACACAGCATACGCACACACGCACACACACGCACACACACACAAGGACACATACCTTTGACCACCGCATCTTCATCTTACCGCAGCTAACTGTACTTCATGTCCTCTCCTCCTCTGTTTTCTTCGCGCAACCAAGCAGAGCTCCTACTCTAGCATCTTCGCTCTCCATCTTCCCTCCCACCCCCCCTCCAAGTCCAAGTCCAAGTCGGCCCCTCCCCAGCTGGCTGAGAGCCCACGAACGACACAGCGCCACCGCTCAGTATCCCGGTCGTCGATCCCGAGGTCCTCCCTCTCTCTCCTCTTTCGCAAAACGAGCGCCCACCCCCGCCATCGCCACAACCTCCTCCGATCTTTCCTTTCTTTTCTCTTCTTTTTTTTTTTTTTTTTGCGCACACGACCGATAGACAGTACCGTTTGCGCCCCCCTGCCCCTCACCCGTAGCGCCTTATCCCGGGGCCAAAGCCACTCTTCATCGTCTGCGGTCGGCTTCATGTCGACTGGCGGCGCCACGCCTCTTGTCGCAAGGCTGCGCTGGCCTAATCGACCATGTCCAACGACGCCAACGCCCGCCGCATACTCCCTCAGGCCTCTCAATCCGCGCAGATGAGCTCCTTCGCATTCGCCCCCCAGCAGCAGCAGCAGCAGCAGCAGCAGCAATACCCTCAACGGGAGACACAAAAGAGTGCGCGACATCCGTCTCATTCACCTCGCCGTCATCATCGCCTTTTCTTCCCCTTAAACACCTCCCCCACCCCACCTCCCACGGCTTTCTGAATAGTAGATAGCTAACTTTGGCGTCATTTCCAGACTATGTCTTTGTTGACGAACATAACCGCCACAAGCGCCTCAAGGGTATGCGCCCTTTCTCTCTCTCTCTCTCTCTCCCCGGATTTCCGCGTCGCTCTTCTCTGAAGGAGCAGTCGGCATCTCGAATTCCCCGTCTTGTGAGGAATCCGGACTCTATACTGACATCTCCCCAGTTATGAGGGCTTGTGAGGGCTGCAGGCGGAGAAAGATCAAGTGCGATGCTGCCACGAACAACACCTGGCCGTGCTCGTCGTGCATCAGGCTCAAGCTTCACTGCGTCCGTCCGAATGGGTACGAGGGCTCGGCCGACGCCTCCGGCTCCGGCGGCTCCCTCGGCCAGTCCGATCAGTTCCAGCAGATGACGATGCCACCTCAGCAGCAGGCGCAGCAGCAGGGGCAGCAGCCCATGATGCAGGCCGCCGCCCAGGTCCCCAAGGCCCACCGGGACATGTATGCGAATCAGGGCTATCCCGATGCCTCGCAGGCCGCCTACCAGGCCGTCTCCTACGACCCTTCCCAGCAACCCAACCTCGGCTACCACACGCCCGTGCCGCCCCCTACCGTATCTGTCATGGACGCCTCCTCGTACGCCGCCCAGGCCAACGTCTTCCCGACCCCTCCTCTACAGCCCAACCAGATCCAGGAACCCTCACCCGACGCATACTCCACGCCGGACTCGTATACCCAGCAGCAGGACCTGTCCGAGCTCCTCGGAAATCTCAAGGTGGACGAGAAGGGAACGGCCCCCTACCTCCGTAACAAGGCCTCATTCCGCCGGGAAGAGGCCCCCGCCGTCGAGGACGAGGAGGACTTCTCCGCCATGCTACCCCCCGTCACGGCCGGCCCCGGCTCCAAGATCCGAATTCCGCCCGACCTGATGCCCGCCGAGGAGGACTCCTTGAGCTATATCGAAGCCTTCTTCGCCTACATCCACCCTTACGTGCCCGTGCTCAACAAGGCCACCTTCTTCCACCAGTGGTACACCAGCCGCGAGTCCATCTCCCCCCTCATCCTCGAGGCCATCTTCGCCATGGGGGGTCGCCTATGTGACGACCCGTCCGACGGGCAGCAGTGGCTGGCCCTCGCCTCCAGACACGCCGACTCCTTCATGGACATTCCGCGCCTCAGCACTCTCCAGGGCCTGCTTCTTCTCCTCAAGGCCAGGGAGGCTGCCCCCAAGCGCGGATACTACTACCGCTCCTGGATGACGGTTGTGCAGTGCGTGCAGATGGGCATCGATCTCGGCCTCGATGAGCATTTCGAGGATCACGAGGCCGGTCGCGGCTGCGATCACAACCCAGCCGACTGCCATCTGCGAACCAGGATATGGAACGCCGTCTTCGTCTGCGAGGTCATGGTCGGAGCTCCCCAAGGTCCGTCTCTCTCCCCCTGTATCTATCTGATGGAGCCTTCCCCCCCCCCAAACCCCCTCCCTCCTTCTCCGTTGATATCCTTCTAGACCCGTGCAAGTCTTACTGACGCAACCCCCACAGGTCGCCACGATCTCTCAGTGCCCATAGACAGCGTCGACTTTAGCGTCCCCCAGCTGCTCCCCGGCGCCGATGAGCATGAGTACCACACCTCGCGCAACTTTGTCTACCTTGCCCGCGTCGTGCACAACGTGAGGAAGCTGGGTTCGACGTATATGAGGGTTCGCAAGAAGAAGGATTGGGGCATCGACCCGGAGGTGCAGCAGCTGAATCGGGGCTTCGACAATTTCCTGGCCGAGCTCCCCGCCGACCTGGCCGTCAACTTCCCGGCCGACGGTTCCCCTCCCTGGATCCCGTCAGCCTTTGTCGGGAACATGCACTCGTACTACCACCTCACCCTCATCCTCTTCCACCGCCCTCAGCTCTCCTTCTTTGACCCCGGGACGAATCCGCAGCAGTGGAAGCACCACATGCTCGCCTGCTACGAGTCCGCAAAGGCTCTCTGCCGGCTCCAGGAGGCCGTCATCAACATGGAAGGCCTAGAAGGTCTCCAGTCGATGCAGCGAGGCTACAGCTTCACCGTCTACGCAGGCCTATCATGCATCGTCCTCCATCTTGTAGGAATGCCTCTTCTATTGCGCAGTGTCTCATCCCTCATCCCTCATCCCTCATCCTCCCCCCCCCCCCCCCCCCCCCCCCCCCCCCCCCCCCCCCCCCCCCTCGCCCGTTACACCGTATCCTCCTCTCGTCCCATGCCCCCCTAACCCAACCCTCCCCCGGTGACGACGAATGCCTCACACCGGAAATAGCACCACTGTGCCGTGATCGCTGACAGTGTGAAAACACGCAAAACAGATCGCCATTGTCTCCCCCGATCCAGACCTAAACTCGGATGCCATCCAGTTCTTCACACGACACATGAGAATCATGGAGAAAGTGATGGAAGTGTGGCCCATGCCCGAGCTGCGGCAGCAGGTCGAGGCCGTGCGTGAAGCCTTCTCAGCCGACACGCGCAGGGCCTTCGTGCTGAAGCCGAGCTTCCCGTACGGTAGCCCGCGCCTATCCAACTCGTCCAGTCCGCCGCAGGATCAGCCGCAGTCGTACCGACGACCTCCGAACCGCCTGTCAGTCCTCGACCAGCACATGGCCGCTGCTCAGGCTCATCAGAACGTTAGTTATGCCGGACATCCCATCTCGCCCCCGGTCTCAACCGGCGCCATGGACAGCAAAGGTGACTCTCCCGCCGGCCAGCCCCTTGTCATGATGTCCCAAGGTGGGCAAGGTCCAGGTGTCCAACAGAACATGTCCATAGCGGACCATCCGGCATGGAATCCGTCCAAGATTCTGGAGTGAGTCTTTCTCCCTTCTTTCCCCTCTCCCCTTTCTTCCGCTACTCATTCCTCCCATTCATCATCAGCCCTTGTGCTGTCACCTCTCTCCCCCCTTCCCTTGCCTCTTCATCCCCTCGGAAACAGTTGCTGACTGGACAAACAGACAATGGAACACAACGTTCGGTACGCCACCTCCAAGTGATACAGGATCCTTCTCCCAGCAGGCCAGGCCACTAAACCTATCACCATCAGCAGGCGCTAGCGAGATGCCCAGCATACCAGAGTACCCCGGAGCAAACGACAGCGGTCTCGCGTCGTCGGACGCGCAAATTTCACCGCAGCAGTACCAGACCGCCAATATTCCCAACTTTGTCACGCCAGCCATGTGGCAGGAGTCGGTGGCCAGCGTGTATGAGGGGGGACTCAAACGGGGCTGGGATTTTGACGACGGGTCCTCGATGATGAAGAGACGATGATGAATCGGCAGGGAGCTATCCGTGAGATGTTTACGACCGACCACCCCCTCCCGCGATGATTTTGGCCACTCCTTCCCCCGGGAAATTCGCCTCGATCAAGAGGATCGACGGGCAGCTGCGACGACGCGGCCGACGCCTTCCAGGTCTGGATCCAACCCCGGCCGGCATGGAACTGGAATGCGACACAGGGCATGGTCCGCTCGACTTGGCGAAGAACAGGAGCCGACTTGCCATTCGACATCTCGGCTATCCGAATCCCTGCGGTCTTCGGTTATTTCTATCCCTATGTATGCGAAAACGCAGCGGGGCACAGCTGAAGTGTGCCGCGGGTATGTATCTTGGCACTCAAGCAGGGAACCAAGGTCATGTGATATTCTGTTCAAGGGGGGAAGAAGGGGAGAGAGGAAAGACCTGGCGATACCGGGAATCAAGCATGGCGCATTCATTTTCGTACGCAGAGACGTTTCCTGTAAGGAATAGGTTGGGTATGTCCAGCATGGCGCGTGGAATGGGTTTTTTTTTTAAAAAAAAAGAAGAAAATGATGTCTAGTTATCGTTTCCTTTCTCTTTGTTGGGTCTTTTTGTTTTCTGTTTGTTCTGCGTTTGGCGTCACACTGTATGTTGGGAAGCTGCCCATGAATGACCTATATGACCTGATGCGTGGAAGGCAAAGGGGCGGGTTTTCCTCTATGGGAAAAAAAAAAGGCAGACAAGCGGATCGGCATGTGTTAGCACGGAAGTGATAGCTGGGATAGCTGGGATGTCATTGGAGGTGATGTCATGTTGATTTCGTTATGATGTGGGAGGATATAGGATATATATATATATATATATATAGGAATCGGGTATCAAAAAGGGGGTTGTGGTTCTACATCACTAGAAGTATATACGAGTATAGAGTACATGCAGTGGCGATGCTCTCAACATTGGTCAAGACTGCCTCTGCTACTTGCGCTACTTCAGCTGCTGCTTCCCGTCAATCTCCTGCTTGATAGCCTCCCAGACCCACCAGCTCACCCTATCCGCCTTGCTGGGCTCCTGATACCTCCTCCGGGCGCCAGTCCGGCTCTGCGCGGTGCTGCTCCCCGGCCGTCCAGGCTGTATGTAAAAGTCCAGGACGGGCGGGAACACGTACCACGACCTCGAGGCCCTGTCGTCGCGCAGGGAGGCGCCGTCGCGCGAACGGGTGTAGTTGACGACGCCGAGGCGTCCCGTTCCCCTGCCTCGGCCTCGGCCACGGCGGGGCAGGAGCTCGGACGCGGGGAGGGTGGTGTACCTCGGCTTGGCGATGAAGCTCATGGTCGTGAGGGAGATCTTCAGGTCCGAGAGCGGCAGGCGGCCGGGCTGCTGCACAATCTCGGAGAGCCGCTGTCTGGTCTTGAGCAGCGGCGGGAGGTGGAGGTGTATGTGCGTGACGAAGGGGGAGGTGACGTAGGCGACGAAGACGGTCGGGATGACGCCGCAGAGGAGGGAGAGGGCTAGCAGCTGCCTGTCTCCGGAGCTGGGATCCTCCTCCTCCTCCTCCTCCTCTCGCGAGGTATCATTGTCTGAATCTGAGGAGGAAGAATTGGTATCGGAATCGGAATCGGTATCGGAGCCGGAGTTGAGGTTGGAGTTGGAGGAGGAGGAGGAGGAGGAGCTAGGCAGGTATTTGGGTGCCATGACACCGCAAAAGAAGAATCCAACCAGGAGAGTAGTGACCTTTACCAGGGCGAGGAACGTGGTTCGCGTCGTGCCGGCATGGTATATCAGGAGGTGGGAGGGTAGCATGTCTACAACCAGTCAGTATCCCTTTAATTTTCTTCTCCCCCTTCATTCGTCCTTTCTCTTCTTGTTCTTCCTTCTTCTTCCTTCTCATGTTTCTTTCCCCCATGTTTTTCTCTTTTTTTTTTTTTTTTGCTGCTTTTTTTTTTCGTTTCTTGACAAGACGTACCCTCGCTACTACTCCGGTTTGTTGAGAGACCATCTGCTGCCTCGCGAGCGGCAGATCTCCTGATCTCATGGGTTGATGTATGGGGATTTAGATGGTGGTGTCGAGTCAATGCTCGGCAAGTGCTCGAGAGGAGTCGTGAGTGCTGCCATTGTTGTGATTGGGCGGGATGGGGATGGATGGTGATGATGGTGATGGGTAGCGGTCGTCCGGTGTGGCGCAAAGGCCGGCAAAGGGAATGCATCTTTTTCTTTTTTAAAAAAAAAGGGGGGGGGGGGGGGGGGGGGGGGTGGGGGGGGGGGGGGGGGGGGGGGGGGAGGGGAGTGGATTGGATGATGATGGTGAAGAGTACGTTTTGGACGCGGGATGTGGGAACCTTCCCCGGATAATTTACGACGGGGTGTTTGTTGGTGGTCCCTATGGAGATGGGGGGATTTTGGACGAGCGCTACCCTGTACCTGGGGCCCCGCGAGGTTTGTAGAGATGCTCACCTGTGGAATCTGGAGAGAGATGTGAGCTTTTCACTGTCATGTTGTATTGAGCTGATATCTGTCGTTCTGGATGTCACTTTGTGGGAGCTTGATTGAAATTGGAAAATGGAGAGAAGAGCAGGTGAAGGAGACAAAGCATAAAATGACAAAAAGAGGAGTAAGGAAGGATTTGGGAAGGTATTCTTGGCCCATCTCTTATGATGACTTTGCAGAAGATGGTTTTATATGATGATATGGATCGTACGGTACGCTTAGTCTCGAGCTCTTGAGCGCTGACAACGTGAAACGAGTGGGACACGGATGTATTGCACGAGGGCGAGAACGCAGGAACTTTTTTGTATGAACGAGGACCTATACGAACAGTGGCTGTACTGCGACAGCATCATGACAGCATCATCATCATTACCTGCAACGGTCGAGGTCTGCCAACATAGCACCAGGACGAACAGACATCGTGCGTCGGTATCAGTTGAACGCCACCATTGAAAGAATCACGGTTCATTCTTCTCTGTCTATAGTAAGTAAGGTAGTGTCCGTATGTACCGGGAGTTATGAAACGAAGCCGCCCGCCGAGGATGCCGTCGAGGATCTCGAGCTCGACGAGACGACACACGCCAGTAGCCCATAACTTCGTGTCCACGCGAGACACAACACGGCCCCCCAGAGAACATCCTAGACGAGATTCTCGCCGAGCCACTTCTCCCACTGGTCAGCACCCCAAGAGGAGCTGATGTCGCCGGCAACGACGCCGTCATAGACAACCGTGGGCGTGACGTGGATCCCCACGAGCCTGTTCATCTTGGTGATGGTCTTGACGTCGGGCGTGACCTTGTTGCCCCAGTTGGAGCTCCCGTCCGGCGCAGCCTTCTCCGGTATGGCGAGCAGGTTGTAGACATCGTCGGCGGTGAGGCCGTCGCCCACGGTGGCCGCCGCCAGGTCCGCGAGGCGACGGTACGTGACGTTGCGCGTCTCCTTGACGACGCCGACGTCAAAGTACTCTGCCTGATGGTCGAACAAGGCGGCGCTGAAGGACCAGAAAGCCGCGGGGCGCAGGCGCAGGACGGCCAGGGCGGCCTCGTGCACCAGCGTGGACGACGGGTGCCAAGGCTGGATCTGCTGGCGGAAGATGATGGCCAGCGGCGCCTTCGCCTTGCCACCGTCGCGCAGGAGGGGTACGACGGTCGTCGTCAGAGTCTTGAAGAACTTGGCGCTGAAGGGGCACACGTAGTCTAGGTAGACTTCTAGGGTGTGCGTCGCGGGGGGGACGGCAGGTCCGGACGAAGAAGAGGGGCTGCTGAGCGGTTCGCCTACTTGCAGCTTATGTCCGGCAAACTTGGGAGGGAGGGCCATGGTTGCGTTGTCGTCTTTGACTCTGTCCCTTGAAGATAGGAATAGGAAAAACCCTTGAGGATAGGGATGACAGGGGTGAAGATGGGAAAAGGTGAAAGGGGACGAGGAATTTTTTTGAGGCTGAGATGGTCCCTTGCAAGTTGGAGAAGAGACAGGATGGTGTGGGAGGGAACAAGGGGAAGGAGCCGGGAGGCTCGGCAGAGGAATCCTTGACGTCGTGCGGGGGAGGGGGAGGGGGAGGGAGAGGGGGGTTTATTGGTGACGCAACACAGGTGGAGTAACAGGTAGGAAGGTGGTAGGACATTGATGACTCAAGGCCAGAGGGTCACGTGCTTTTGCTAACCTTTGCCTGTTTTCTCCATCTCACATCCGTGTGCACTGATGACTAGAATAACTAGTGAGAATAGGTCATCGTCACCTTGTTCACTTTGCCCCCTTGTGTTCCTCCTCCTCCTCCCCCCCCGGCCCTCGTTTCGGTGCCCCCTTTTGGTGCCCAACGGGTCATAGCATAGTTGATCATGGTATAGCTGAAAAAAATAAAAAAAAATAACACGACGATCATCAACAATGGTAAAGGCTATTTATAGAAGACCGATGCCACAGTTGTGATCCAACGCTACCGTGCTAAATAACGGATATCCACCAATGCAAAACTATAGATTCAGAGACATAAGATCTGACATCTGTTGAACAAGATCAACCTCAGCGTACCGTCAGGAGCAGGCAGATACACATACACCTCTGTGGCAACGTTAGAGCGAATACGACTTGATACGTGCACGCCGAACGAACGAGGCAAAGGTGCGCGGTTGATACAGGCAGGAAGCTGAGGTGGTGAAAATAAAGCCCACTCCATCTGCTACACACTAGGGAATAACGGAAGATCATCCCAAGACCAGGGACGATTTATGCATCACAAGCCTTCTTCTCGGCAGATGTAATGCGGGGCTGGGTGTTTGCAAGAGCTGCACGCGCGAGCAGTAATATTGACAGCAGTATTAATAGCACGCAGAGCCTTGAAACTTGGGTGTGTTACTGGCAGGTCTACGCACACATATGCATACATTCGCGTGTATTCCATACCGTCCTGTCTCCCCACAGCCTCAGGAGAGAGAGGCGAGGCGTCGAGACGAACTCGAGCAGGGGAGGAGAACAAGCTTTGCACGGTACGAGTAATACTAGGAACTGATAACTTACAAGCATCACCACCCCGTATCAACACCAGGAATAGAAGGGACTTATTTCGCGGCACTCACGGACCCCGGGGACTTGTGGGTCAATGGACCACGGGAACCTCACGCCTTGAAGAGAGCTTTAAAAAAAGACTAGAGAGAGGAAGCGTAGCATCGGGAACTATTATCCTGCAGCGTCGATTGTATCGTCCAGTCTTGATCGACTGACAATGGGACAAGAGGAAAGAGGAGAAAGGGGACTCACTCTGTTTAGAAGCAAGGGTCCCCCCCCCCCCCCTTTTTTTTGACGATCCCCCTCGGCGAATAGCAATCCTGGAAGAGAGAGGCGAGAGGGCCAGGTTTAGTGGTCTTTTCTGAATCGATGAGGGAGGGCGTATGTAGTAGATGTACGACGGAACGATGGGATTCGAAGATTGAGGTTGAGCAAGATTTGAGGACGGTAGAGTGCAGAAGAAGTCAAATATGAGTGAGACCATCAAGGTGGAGCGAAGGATTGGGCTGCGGAGACCTCAAGGAAGGCGCGACCGGGGCAGGCAGTTAAACTTATTACGTTATAGTGGGACGAAGGCCTAATGGGGAAAATTTTCTGCTGCGGAACGGTGAAAGAACGGCAGGATGGTCCACTAATTGACCAGTGAGAGGCCCCCTAGGCGTCCCAAGCCAGGCGACTCTACGAGTAGGTGATCCCATATGCCACCGGTCTCGGGCGATTTAGGGTCCCAGATCTCGGCTGTCAGCACTGTAGTCCCGCTGTGAGTGCGCTGAACCGAGACTCTGCCGCACAGCCTGCACCACTCCGTTAGACCGACTTCGACGGCGATGGTGGGAGAGAGGAGAAGATCGCGGGAAAGGGAAAGAGGGACCCTGGACTCAGTCCCTACCCCGAGTGACTTGAATCTCCCACCAAAAGTGCCTCGTTTCGAATCTTCTTCACACACCCCGACCGTCGACGGTACTTGCTGATCCTACTGCGCCCACGCAAAACACATACACGGCTCTCATATTCGGCTCTCATACAGCTCTAATACGTACACCTTGTAGGTCACAGACACACGGACACCAACACGCCTGCTCCTTACTGATGCTATCTTTGGACGATCCCGTGTTGTTACTGCTGCTCACCTCTGCACTCGTACTCGTACACTGTACTGACTGACCAACGCTCGCAGACTATAAACCCGCCCGTTCCTCGCTCTGCGGAACCGTCCTCCATCATGATCTGCCTCTCCAAAGCGGACGAGGCCTCGTTCAAAGAAATGTCTTTCAACCAGAGCCCTGCTCCCCTGTCCGGCGAGAACACCACTCGCCAGGATCTCAACGGAATCTCCAATCTGCGCGAGCTCGTTTCTGCCGGTCAGAACAGCCACGAGGCAGGTCCCGGAGCAGGAGGTGGAGGCATGGCTTTGGCGGCATCTGCTGGTTCCGGTGCTGATGAAAAGCATTACCAGGGCTTCCCCCACCCGGGAAGTCCTGGCGTGGGAAGACAGTCTCCTGGTATGTCTTTCCCCCCTCTCTTACACGGCACTCGTCTCTGCTCTTCAGCCCCTCTCTTCTCTCTCATACACAACATCGCCCCGTCATCATATCGCTCCATGCTAACACTGAACCCCAGCAGAACTGTCCTCACGCCACTGGGCGACGTTTGGTGGTGAAGACCAGCGTCTCCTCTCTCAGGCTGCATCTCCTTTCGAGACTCGGCCCTGCTGCAGTTTCTGGGGATGGGCTGCCTGGATATCCTCCGTCCTTTCCGTTTCCTTCATCCTGACCTTTGCCATCGTCTGCTTCTCTCCCTCTTCTTCTTCTGCCCCGATTACCACTACTACTATTACTGCTGCATCTTCTGCACCTGATGACCTCGCCCCGCGCGATGAAACCTCCTCACCCTCGCCCGTCACGTTCGCTTCTCTCCTCAGAAAGCGCGACACCTGTGAGCAGGGTGGCGTCAAGGGCGACACCTACGACACGCCCCTGCACGTCGGTGCCCTCCTCCTCATCTGGTTCGTGTCGACGGCCGGCTCATCGTTTGCCCTGCTGGCCCAGAAGGTTTCTTGCCTCCGAATCCCCGCTCGCTTCTTCTTCGTCGTCCGCCACTTTGGAACCGGCGTCCTCATCGCCACGGCCTTTGTCCACCTTCTGCCCACCGCCTTCGTTTCCCTCAACGACCCATGCCTGGGATCCTTCTTCACCGACGGCTACCAGGCCCTCCCAGGGGCCATTGCCCTAGGTGCCGTCTTCCTGGTCACCATCATCGAGATGGTCTTCCACCCATCGCGCCACTGCACCAGCGCCTTGCCCCTGACCCGCGGTCCCGACATCGACAACGACGATGAGAAGGTGGCCAAGGTCACCCCTCCCGACTCAGATATCCCCCGCAGCCCCATTCAGGGTATGGTACGCGACCTCGCTTCCCCAAAGGGCCGCACCTCGAGCGTCGGCCGCGCCCTCAGCCACCTCCACAGCAACGGAGAGGCCAGCGACGGCGAGATGGCCGCCGTCGACATGGAGCAGCTCTCTGGCCCTGGTCCCAGTGCCGAACAGAAGCTCCGCAAGGAACGCCTGCAGGTCCTCCTGCTCGAGATGGGTATCCTCTTTCACTCGGTCTTCATCGGGATGTCTGTCAGTGTCGCTGTCGGTACCGACTTCATCGTTCTCCTCATTGCCATTGTCTTCCACCGTGAGTCCCCTCGCCGCCCCCCTCTCTACGTTGACGAGAGCATACGCTGACTGTAAATCCTCAGAGACCTTTGAGGGTCTCGCTCTTGGCTCCCGTATCGCTGCCATCAACTGGGGAGAGGGCAGCCGCCAGCCCTGGATCATGGCTATCGCTTACGGACTGACCACGCCCCTCGGACAGGCCCTGGGCATTGCCACTCACACCCTGTATAGTCCCGACTCGGCCGTCGGTCTCATCGTCGTCGGTGTCATGAACTCCATCTCGGCCGGACTGCTCACCTTTGCCTCCCTTGTCGAGCTCATGGCCGAGGACTTCCTCAGCGACGACAGCTGGAAGCACCTCCGCGGAAAGTCTAGAGTTCTTGCCTGTCTTCTCGTCTTCGTCGGAGCCTTTGGCATGAGCCTTGTCGGTGCCTGGGCCTAAGGGTTCCCACTGTCTACAGTCAGGGGACACGGGTACAGGGCTCTCCCACTTCCTTGATCCGAGTGTGCCTTCTTGGGTGCTGAACCTTAGCGCCATCTTCTCCTTCGGCCTCCTGAGCCTTGGGGGATTCCACCACTTCTCTTTCTCTCTCACTGCCAGGGAACCTTCAATCTCAGTACAGCCGGATTGCGTCTGCTGTAACCATACATAGACGGAATCATCAACAACCGCCACAGGATTGGTCGATTGCAATCCCGAACAAGTAATGCGTGGTGAACAAGAAAAATCCATTATGCTGGATAGATGTCGAGAGCTCCAAATGGCGTGCAATTTTTTTTTTTTTTTTGACATTAGCAAATTCTTTTCTAACGGAAAGAAAGGATGTCGATGTTTGCATTTCACTTCAACATGAAACAGAATAAAAACTCATATCTTAGGAATATATACTCTTCAAGTTTCTACTTGCTTTTGCTTCTATGACGTACCTCACCTGCGAAGGCCGTATTCTATTCATGATATGGAGCAGTTGGTAGTTGCTATCATGACTTCAGTTCCATGAAAGCGATAGCCTGAGCAGGAGCGCACGAACTATACTTCGGAGCACTGGAAGGAATCGAGCTGGTCCGGTTAGGAGGAGCGGCGCTTGTATATGCTATATCGATATATCGCAACCTAGTCCGACACGGTATTCTTGGCGACGACACCCCTGGCAAAGTCTGCAAAGGTCAGATGCTGCTGGATGTCAACCTCTTCGTCCAGGTTAGGCTGGGTGAAGACGGCGAGGGTGTTGCGGGCGATGAGCGAACGTGCGTCCCCCCCCGCCTGACCGTGACGGGCCCTCACACCGCGTACAAAGTGCGGGACGGCCTTGAACCTCCCCTGGGTGATGCGCTCCAGGGCCTCGCCTGTCTGGAAAGCGACGCAGTCGCGCGGGATGCGAACCTGAAAGGTCTCCCCCGAGCGGGACTTGATGTACAGGCCTGCGCTGGGGTCGGGGGAAGCGGCGAGCTCGTCGAGGGTGGGCAGCGACCTCGTTCCCGGCGTCGGGGCGAAGCGGGGTGCGGAGACGGCCTCGTCGATAAACATGGCTGATGTGAGGCCGGTGAGGCAGCCGTGGTCGAGGTGGGTCGCGCACCAGTCGTCCGAGTCCGAGACCGAGTCCGGGCCCGAGTCCGGGCCCGAGTCCGGGCCCGAGCCTTTCACCTCGGCTTCCACCTCCCCATCCCCGACCGGCCCGGACGGTGGGCCCTGGGGGTAGTAGTGCAGCAGACGAGCCTTGGTGGTGGTGCTCGTGCTGACGACCCGCTGGAGGTACCCGGGTGGGTAGCCCGGCATGTCGCGCTCGGCGAAGCGGTCGCAGGCGCGGGCGACGAGGACGGCCACGTCGATGATGAGCTCGCACAGGGACGTCAGGGCGGGGCGGAAGCCGGGAAGCGCCTCCTCGGCCGGCCACACGTTCGGGGAGAGGTACTCGGGGAAGGCGGCGGGGGAGACCAGGGTGGCGGTCGGGGCGGCGGATTCGAGAGCGGGATCGACGTAGAAGGCGCAGTTGGCGTAGTAGGAACCCTTGTTGGTGTCTACCTGGCCGTTGCGAAGGGTCTCCTTTCCCAAGGACCAGCCTGTCAGGTATTTGGCTTCCGGATTCTCAAGGGCATCTGAGCGGCTAGATTAGAGAGATTTTGAAAAAAAAAAAAAAAAGAAGAAGAAGAAATCAAGATTGGAAATGGATGAAGTGGAGATATCGGGGGGGTGGTTGTCAATAATATATTATTACCTAGGTCTTGTCTGGGTAGGTTGCCGAGGTAAGAGGCGTACGAGAGGGCAAGACGTCTCATGGAGGTAAAGTCTGATGGCATGTCTTTGACTACCAAGATGCCGAGGGAGTCGGGGCCGAATGCCTCTTGAAGGGTGTCGAACGATATGTTATCTGGAGGTTTTCGGGTCAGGCCAGTTGGATCACCACGGGATTATCTGACGAGGGTAGTCTTTTTCTTCTTCTTTTTCTCGTCCCCCTTATATATAATCACCATTTTTGAGATCATCCAAAGACACCGTGACGGCCTGAGCTTGAGTGGGCATTTTTGATTTCGTCTTGGCTTTATCTTTTTTTGATGAGATGGTATATTATTTTTGTGTTTTCTTGGTGTAGTAGTAGTAGTAGTAGTAGTGGTGGTGGTGGTAGTGGTGGTGGTGGTGGGGGGGGGGTTTGGGGGGTTTTTCATCATCATCCTGCAACTGGAAGTTTTTGGCCTTCCTATCTTGGATTGCCAAGCCTCGTGATTTTTTTATTATCTTTTGCACCTTGATTGTTCCGGGGATAGCAGACTAGCATCCGGAGAAGACAACAGAAAGTGACCTCTTATACAGAGTACTTCATACCCCAAGATAATCACCAATGGCGGAAAAATATCAAGTTTTTATCAACGACGCGGGGGAGGGGCAACTTATACGACCCCTTGTCTGATTACCTAATAATCATCTATTATATCAGTTATTATTATTATTTAATTATTTAATTATTTTGTTTCTTTGATGCCCCCCAGCTTTTGCATTCGACGACGACCGACGCGAGCCGATTCGACACCGAAACATAATGGTCAAGCCACTCAGCTTCAAGGGCGACAAGAAGAAGGCCAAGAAGCGCAAGCGCACGGCGGCCGGCGAAGCTGCTGATGCCGACGGCGCCGAGGACGGTGCCCCATCATCATCAGTCGCAAAGACAGGCGACGAGGACGCCGCGGCCAACGACGACAGCTGGGTATCGGCAGAGGTCACGAGCGACATATCCGGCCCCGTCATGATTGTCCTACCCACCGAGGAACCATCGGCGCTGGCGTGCGATCAGAGCGGCGCAGTCTTCACGCTGCCCATCGAGAATATAGTCGAGGGGAACCCGGCTAGCGCGGAGCCTCACGACGTGCGACAGGTGTGGATCGCCAACCGAGTTGTCGGCACAGAATTCTTTCGCCTAAGAGGTCATCACGGACGGTATGGTTGCCTCCTCTCTCTCTCTCTCTCTCTCTCTCTCTCTCTCTCTCTCTCTCTCTCTCTCTCTCTCTCTCTCTCTCACTCTCCCTCCTCTGTTCATCTACACCCTCCCCTTTCCCTCCGGCGAGGAGATGCAAGATATAGCAGACTGACGCGACATGCGATCAGACACCTCTCGTGCGACAAGATAGGTCAGCTATCAGCCCTGTCAGAGACGATCTCACCGCTCGAATCCTTCACCATCATACCCACGGCCGACACACCGGGCACCTTTCAGCTGCAGACGCACCGCGACACCTTCGTCTCGGTCAAGGAGCCCAGCGGCGCCAGCAAGGAAGCCGACTCGGAGAAGAGATCGGCCGGCCGCAGGGCCCAGCAGCCCGAAGTGCGCGGCGACGCGGACGCCGTAGCCTTCTCCACCACGCTGCGTATCCGCATGCAGGCCCGGTTCAAGCCGCGCTTCAAGGCGTCAAAGGAGGAGCGTGCCCTGGCGAAGATCAGTCGGCGAGAGCTCGAGGAGGCGGCCGGCCGCAGACTGGACGAGGATGAGGTCAGGATGCTCAAGCGTGCTAGGAAGGAGGGCGATTACCATGAGAAGTTGCTGGGCATCAAGGTGAAGAATAAGCATGACAAGTTTGGATGAGGGTGAGAAGAGGCAGGAAGATGGAGGGAAAGAGGAGAGGGGAAGAAGGAGGAGGAGGAAGAGATGACCGAGATACAAGGTCCCGACTGGAAACAAACACCCAGGTTTTCCAAGAAAAAGGGGCCATTCCAACCCAACACCCCCAGCCATGTATATCACCTCAGGACATGATAAGAGAGCAAAATGTGTAGCGGGATGGAAAAAAAAGGAGAGAAGAAAAAGTGGTACTGGGTAACGGTCGAAATGAATAAATAAACCCTCCCCCCCCCCCCCCCCCCCAAGAAGAAAGACGAGAATGAACGCTCTAATACATGGCAATGACCCAACAGCTCTCAGCTACCCGGACACCAAGCCTTGATCTTCCCATCCTCCCCACCCGTAAAGACGAGCTGGTTCTCATCGAAGAAGCAGAACGATCGGACAATGTCCTCGCCATGCGCACCCGGAAGCCCGACACCAGTACTGCGGTCCAGGGTCCATTGATGGTCTTGCGCAGCCAGGAAGACGAGCTGGAAGCTTCCTCGTCTGTATGCATGTCAGCACGAGTCATAACACGAAGTGACAATAAGAGGGCTGGATGAGTTTTTTTTTTTTTTTTTTTTTTTAAAAAAAAAAAAAGAGGAAGCTTACTCTTGATCTCCCACTCCGAGGATTGCCCCGGTCCCGTCAACCTTGGGTACGACGTCGACGACGTATCGACAGTCGAGGGCACCGCGCACATCCCCAAAGTCGCGGAGGGCGTCCCCGCTGGCCGCAGCGTCCGACACGTCGTACAGGGCGAACCTCTCGTCGTGGCTGAGGGCGGCGACGAGCGACGAGGACCCCAGGAAGCCGGCGCGGTGGACCGAGGCGCCCAGGTTGAGCGTCTGGACCGTCATGTCGTCCTCGTCCGGGATCGAGGTGTCGTGCACGCTGACCAGGCCGTCGGTCGAGCCGGAGAGGACCACGTCGGGCCGGGAAGGGTGGTACGACAGCGTGGTGACGTCGTCGCTGTGCAGGTCGTGGTAGGCCGCCCTGAGGCTGGACGACCGCATGTCCCACAGCACCACCGAGGCCTGGTGGTCCGTCAGTTCCGTACCGAGGGCTATGGTGCTCGTCTGGGCGTTGCAGGCCATGGACATGATGGGTGCGTCGGTTGCTTTCCATCTTTCAATGTTAGCCATGCAGTATATATAAATATATATATATATATAGAGAGAGAGAGGGAGGGAGGGAGAGAGGGAGAGAGAGAGAGAGGGAGGGAGAGAGGGAGAGAGAGAGAGAGAGAGAAGATACTCACCGTTGAATCGTCCAACACTCTTACCACCACGTAGATCCCACACCCCTACGCTCCCGTCCTCACCGGCAGTGCATACCACGCTCTCACCAAACAGACCCAACGTCGTCAGGTTCCCGTGGTTGGTGGACAGCCTGGCGGCCGGTCCCCTCCCCAGAGACGTGGGGTCGAAGAGGGTGAGGGACTGGTCCGATGAGATGGACACCAGTCCACCCGACGGGGTGCGGGTGAGGTCTAGGACCCATGTGTCGTCGGGGAAGACGTGTTCGTCTCTAGGAGTGAGATTGTACATTTTTTTTTTCTTTCTCCCCCCTTCGGTCTCTGTCTGTCTCTCTGTCTCTCTCCTCTCCTTTTTCTGCTCTGGTGTATGTGGTCTGGTTGGTGGTGAGGAGTTGTCGAGTTGGGAAGAGTTTTCTCTCTCTCTCTCTCTCTTTCTCTTTCTCCCCTCCCCCCCCCCCCAAAAAAAAAAAAAAACTAATGTTACTATGTCATATTACTCAATGACACAAGACATACTCGCGTACTTTTTTTTCGTGTCAACGAAACCGTCTTCAATCTTCATTCAATGATACGGCCCTTCAATTGTTTCTCAACCACATACGAGACTTGAGATTTGACAAGAGGAACACATACATTCACGGAGAAACCCTGGGCATCTCCTTCCTACTCACTGTAACGTACATCCGTCTATCAAATCTAGACTACAGAGTCCAGACACCTCGAGGATTGCTCCGATTGCCGTGGCTCATTTATTCTTGTTATGTAGTAGGAAAATATTCCACAAGCCTCTATTTCATGATGAGAGAGGGAGGTGAAACAGACGAGAAGGGGACCATCCCAACCGAAAATCAAATCAGATAAAAACTCCAGTGCAATGCGCGGTCCTATGCTCGAAAACAAGACATGAAGAAGCGAGACGAAAAAGACTGGCGTACCCGACCAGATATTGCTTTTGTTCTAAAACAGGAAAAGAAAAGAGAGGGAAACAGAAAAAAAAAAGAAGAAAAGCGTGAGTGGGTGAGCGGTGTTTGGTATGATGATGAGAGGAGAAGGGACGAGAGCAAGGTGAGAGGCTGCTGCTGCTGTGCCTAGTGTTGAGCAGCAGCAGCTCGCTCGTTGATACCCTTGAAGACGCTCTTGCCGACTTCGTAGGTGCTTATCATGATGGCGCACGAGGGAGCCACCTTGAGGGTGCGGGGGATCCAGCCCTTCCACAGGCCGGATGCGCCCTCGGTCTTGAAGATGTGCCAGAGCAGGCGCGTCATGTTCCGGCGGTAGTCGCCGACGGAGCCGCCGGCGTAGACCTGGGTGCGCGTCTTGCCGACGTCGAAGGGCGTGGTGACGACGGAGGCGAAGGCGCCCGAGAGGGCACCCGAGGCGAAGCTGTCGACAAACGTCTCGGCCGAGTTCTCCGGGTTGGAGAGCCGGCGGTCGGCGCGGGACGGGGACGGGGACGGGGACGGGGGCAGGCCGAGCCCGTAGCCGTGGCGCCTCCCGCGCAGGTCCGACAGCCTGGACCGGATCGCCTCGTAGCCCCACCAGTACAGGCCGGAGAAGGGCACGTCGCGCCAGAGCGTCAGGCTGAGCCCGCGCCACAGCGACGTGTAGCCGCGCGTGCCGACCATGGCGCGCACGTCGCCGAAGGCCTCGAGCATGTGGTTGCCCGTCGACGTCGGCGACGCGGCCTGCATGCGCGTCCGGACGAGCTCGATGGGGCCGACCGACGTGGCCGCCAGGATGCGGGCCACCGACCCGGCCGTCAGGGGGGCGTAGTCGTCGCTCAGGCCGGACAGGAGGCTGCTGGGGCTGTGCCGGAGCCACTCGTACCCGGTGAAGTAGATGATGTTGGCCGGCACCGCCATGGCCAGCGTGGGGGAGAGCCCGCGCCACAGCGTCGACACGCCCTCGTTGCGGGCAATCTTGCGCAGCCCGTCCATGGTCGACCGGTACGTCTTCTTCTCGGCCTCCCGGACGGCGCAGTCGGACGGCGCGGCGGCCGTGGCGGCGGCGGCGGCGGCGGCGGCGGCACCGGTCCCCTTGGGCGAGGCCACGCAGAAGGCGTTGCCGCCCTCGATGAAGAAGACCTCGCGGCAGCACGCCGTCACGCCAATCTCCGACGCCGGGATGGGGAGGGAGTTTGCCGTGAGAGTGAGGCGGGAGAAGTCTATCTTGGACGACGTTCGGGGTTGCTGGGACTGGAGTCGGACGCGGACGACATCGAGCGGTGTGACTTGCCGGGTAATCCGTCAGCCGAGGGGAGGAGGACGAGATTGGGGAAGGAAAAGATTGCGGGACGGGAGAGAGGAGAGAAGAGAAAGGGAAAAAAAAAAAAGAAGAAGAGAACTCACCGAGCAGCGACGTCAGTAGACTGCCCGACATGGCCGACATCATCCTCTGACCCGTCGTGATCTCAAAGAGGTCGCTCCCGCTGGCTCCCTCCGAGCCCCTGGCGACGACGACATCGCCGGGTGGAGGTGGCGGGGTAGCGCTGCCGGCCATGCTGAGTATGGCCGCACCCGCTCCGACAGGCCGGTCGTGCCACTGGCCTTCGGACGTCTGAACGGCCGGGCCCATGGCTCTCAGGTGAAGCGTCTCGAGCTTGGAATCGTCGTCGGCATATGCAGCGTATCGTTTCCGGAGCTATCTCTCTTCGATGCCAGCTTGACAGTGACGGTGTGTGCGTGTGCGTGCGTGCGCGCGCGTGTGTGCGTGCGTGCGTGTATGTGTGTGCAGGAGGGAGAAATAGATTAGGCGTGCAGACTGTGGATGCTCTGTGGAAACACGCAGCAGGGGGGGCTTGACTGATGGGTGGCGATAGTGGTTGACGCGCTTGCTGATTGATAAAAAAAAAAGGAAAGAGGGAGAAAAAAAAGGTAGCGGGCCGACCACCGGAACTCGGTATAGCACTATCTCAGCCCGTTAGCGGCCTTTCCTGCCTGAGCTGCCTGGACTGACGCCCGTACTGTTGAACTAGCTACGTGTAGTCTGTACGGAGTATTGCCGTACCGCGTACTGTACGCATCCCTCTCTCCCGCAGGGTCCCGTATCTAGCCGTCAGGTTGGGACAGGTGAGCTACCTGATTGGCCTGGACCTCGTATGCGGCCACTGTAGATCGCTGTGCTGGAGGGGTTCTTAGCGGGCTCTCCTCTCCGTACAGCGACCCCGGGGGGGGGGGGACGCTGCCGATACTGGTAATCTGTGATCTGTACAGATTAATCTGCACATCTATGCTGAAAGTCCCGCTGGAGTCCCCGCCGTAGGCTGTGCGGTACGATATATTGTGATCTGTACAGGTCATACAGATGTCGAGAATAGTTATGATACAACACCTCGTCCCCGATGACCGGACCTTCCCCCCCCCCCCTTCTTTTTCTTGCCCGTACGTAACCGATCGAGAGATGCGATGTCCGCTAGTTGAGCCAACGTTCCATGTGCAGCATCGACAAGGCTCACCACTGCGATCAGCCACGGAGGTGGTCACTACGGGACCTGCGCCATGTCACGTGCGAGGAGAACATGTAATCATGACAGCACCGAACACTGAACACCGAACACGGTGGATTCATCACAAGGGGGGTTGTCTGTTGTCAGGTGTCCGGTTCTTCGTCCCGAACTCGTCACTCTTTTTCACGGTCGAGGTCGGATTACCTGGTCTACATACGACGGTAACCGGTACGGATCATTACTCGAAATACCAGGACAATTACAAGGGACTATCAACACTCCGTATAGTACAGATTAGGGGCAATCTGTACATACGTAGCTACAAGCACAGATTACAGATCTGTATGGATCACGCGTAACGCCGTAGAGATGCACTCCGTCGTAGACATGGCAGTGGTAGCCTGCAGGTTGCAGGTGGCCGAGGGGGGTCTTCCTACGGCGTTTCGGTAGGGAGCGAGACTAGGATGCCGACTTTGGGAGACGGGACAGGGACAGTCTAGGGACAGGATGATGTGGCCGACTGCGACAACAGGAGTGAATCTCGTTGAGGAGACGAAGAAAGGAGAGAGTAGAGAAAAAAATATCGTCTCCGTGGTACTGGCCGCACTCCTCTACGGCTCAGAATTGACCGCGTAGAGGGCTTATCCTCGTACATACAGCTAGGCTGCCTCGCTATCGATCAATACTGTGTCCAAGACCCGGTCATTTACCCCGCCACCGCCAGTTCGCCATCAACCCGTGAATTTCCACCACCACCATCCCCGGCCCCCATCGTCATGAGCCAGGACCAACAGCTCGACTCGGAGCTCGACTCGTTCCGCCGGCAATGGTTATCCGAAGTAAGAGGCCGCAATGAGCCGCCACCGGACGCCAGGAGCGCTGGACAGCAAGAGCAGCACCAGCAGCACCGGCAGCACCAGCAGCCGACCACCAGGAAGCCAGCACCAGCACCACCCGTCCCCTCATCGTCGGGTACCCGTCCAGCGTGCACATCCGTCGACGACCGAGCCTGCGACGATGTCCACGTCCAGAGCCTTTCCTTTGACGAGCCTCCACCGAGGCCGCCAGGACCGACGATTGGCCGAGGCGGTGACGACGAGGCCAGCAGGGAGCTCGTATCTGCCCTGGACCACTTCGAGGAGGCCATGGAGCGGGAGGCCCAGGGCAACATGGGCGAGAGCCTGAAGCTGTACCGTAGGGCCTACAAGGTACCTGCCCACCACCCACCTACCTGCCCGACCCCCTTCCCCCCTCTCCCCTTCCTCCATCTCGCGACGACGAGGATGATGAGACGACGGCGACCGTCACAAGGCTGACCGACGTCAAGCTCGACAATGGTGTCGACAGACGCTACAGGGAGAAGCACTTCCCAGCGAGCAGGCTCAAGACGTCGAAGCCCGCGCCGGCCGCACCTCCGCCCCAACCGTCCGGGTCGGAACCGTCCAGGTCGGAACCGTCGAGGGCGGGAGGGGACGTGGAGGAGAAGAGAGGAGGTGCCGTCAAGGCCGCGGAAGACCAGCCACCGCCGCCGCCGCCGCCGGCCCCCATAGCCGACCTCCTACAGACCTTCTCGGGCCTGTCGATTGAGCCGGTGCCCCCCGAGGTCGAGGGCATGCCGCAGCCGCCGTGCCCTATCTCGGACCTCCCCGAGGAGCTGCTAGTTCACGTGATGCGGGACGTTGCCGTGGCCGACGTGGCCGACTTTGCGCGCCTGTCGCTCGTCTGTAGGCGGATGGCGTACCTGGTCTCGACGGAGCAGCAGATATGGCGACGTGTCAGCGAGGGCGACGAGTTCGGCTTCGCCGCCATGCACCACCGGTACGCCGTCGGGATAGACTGGAAGGACATGTCGGCCGAGGACGAGGGCGAGGGCGAGGACGAGGACGGGGGGAGGAACGGCGCCCCGACGATGATCCTGGACGGGGACGGCACCGTCCTGACGTCCCGGGAGATGCGGTCCCGACTGGCCGCCCGGTCGGCCGAGGTGACGCGCTCCCTCGTGCCGTCGCCGTCGTACCCGGACTGGCGGTCCCTGTTCCGCAGCCGGCCCCGCATCCGCTTCAACGGCTGCTACATCTCGACGGTCAACTACGTGCGCTCCGGCGCCCTGTCCACCAACCAGGCCACGTGGGGCGGAAGCCCCATCCACATCGTCACCTACTACCGCTACCTGCGCTTCTTCCGCGACGGCTCCGCCATCAGCCTCCTCACCACCGACGAGCCGCGCGACGTCGTCCATCACCTCACCAAGGAAGAGGTCGAGCTCGTCCGGGACAGGAAGCATCACCATCTCCATCATCATCACGGTCACGGTCACGGCCATGGCCAACAGAGCCAGGAGACCTCCGCTCCCGCCGCACTCCCCACACCGGTCATGAGCCTGGCCCTGAAAGGTCGATGGCGCATATCGCCCAGCCGAGACCTGTCGGTGCAGGGGGGAGTGGAGGAGGATGAGGAGGAGGAAGGCAACGTCTATGTCGAGACAGAGGGTGTGGGTCCAAAGTACATGTACAGGATGGACCTGAGCCTGCGCAGCGCCGGCAAGGCGGCCGCCCGGAATAACAAGGTGGTCTGGAGGGGCTTCTATAGCTACAATAAGCTGACGGACGACTGGGCCGAGTTTGGCTTGAAGAATGACAGGCCTTTCTTCTTCAGTCGCGTCAAGAGTTATGGTCATTAGGATAGATGGATGTGCTCGTCTCACCACATGCAGGGTCGGCTGATACCGTCCATCCAATCATTCATCTGATCCGTCTCCCACGTAGGAATCAAGAAGACGTACGTCCCAAATCACTCAACCCTTTTCCAGATGCCGAGACTGCACATGTCCAATTCTCAAACGCGATCGATGCTATCTTCATCCCACCCGCTCCAATCATGAAAAAAAAAAAACCCATCAAGAGAAGATTGCCCCGAAAACGATGTATATATATAATATGATATGACCAGGTTCCATGTGTTCCGAAATGTCTATTTTCCGGGATCATAGTAGCGTACTATCCAGAATCTTCGGTCCCAGAGTGTCTCTTGGCCCCTCTGAGTATAGTAGTCTAGTAATCCAAAATCTCCTCTCCAGACTTGTCTTCTCTTCCCTCTGAACTGACAGCAGTATTGTATCCGAAATGGCGTCCCACAGTGTTCTCTTCTCCCCCGGCTAGTGTAAGAATATTTCATGAGAAGAGAAGAGTAAGAGAGGAGAGGGAAAAGAGGTGTGGAGAAAGGGGAGAGAGAGGTGGAAGGAGAAGAAGATTAAGAAAGAAGAGTATTAAAGATAAAGTCGTGTTGCAGCGTTAAAAGTTGGAAAGGGGTAGTAGAGTAGAGGAGAAGAAGTTAAGAGAAGAAAAGAAGGCTAAGATGAGAGTCAGAGAGAGAGAGGGGGAGAGAGAGAGGAGAGGAAGAAAAGAAAGAATCAGCGGATTCTCTTCCCGTCAAGAAACTTTGGATCCTGATCCTTGTAGTAGTTATCGCTGTACTGCGCTGCCTTGCGGGCCTCGAAGGCGGCCCTCTCGTCGTCGTCCATGGTGAAAGCCTTCTTGAGCCATCCGAACGCGCTCTTCTTCTTCTTGAGCGTCCGGCTGCCGCTGGACTTGGCGCTCGGCGCACCGCCGCCGACGCCCGAGGAGCTCCTGCCGCCCGGCGTCGTCGTCCGCACCGCCGTGCCCGTCGAGTTGAGCGTCGTCATGCTGGGAAGGTGGCTCGGCGGACGGTGCTGACCGTAGCCGTAACCGTAGCCGTGGTGCCCGCCTCCGGTGGGGGCCTGGGGGCTGAAGTAGCCCGACGGGGCGCGGGAGTGCGGTTGGCCGCCCATGGGGCCGACGCCGGCGGCCGTGTGCGGTCGCTGCTGGAGAGGCGAGTGCGGCGACGCCAGCACCGGGTGGTAGTGCTGGTAGTCCGAGCTGTGCGACGGCAGCATCGACGGCCGCACCACGTGCTGGCCCAGGTCGGCGTGGGAGCCTACGCGGGGCATGCGGTGGGCGGCCGCCATGGCGCTGTGCGGCGTCAGCGAGTCGGCGTCCGACCCGGAGCTGTCGCGGAACGGGAGTCCGCTGCTTCCGCCCGAGTCGCGGAACGGCAGACCTGTGCTCCCCGCCGAGTCGCGCACGAGGAGGCTGCCGCTTCCGGTGCCGCTCAACGACTCTCGAACCGAGAGGGTGTTGCTGTGGCTGCTGTTCATGCGGGGCGCGGTCCGGACCGCGGGCGACGCCGTGCGTGCCGGGTTGCGCTCCGGCGCCGACGCCGAGGCGCGCGTGTCCGTCATCAGGGCGGGAGGGGGGGTGGATCTCTGGGATACGCGGTCGCGCAGCGACTGCGGCTGCGGCCACGGGCCGGAGACGAACGGCGGGCTGGCCGGGGGGGAGAGCGAGGAGGGCGACGGGGCGTGCATGGCCAGCGGTGACGGCTGGGGTGTCTTGGGCGTGTACGTGCGCGGCTGCAGCGTGTACAGCGGGCTGTCCTCGCTCTCCTCCTCGGCCGTGGCCTCGTGGACGGGTGACGGCATCGTCGTCGTCTCGACGCGCAGCTTCGGCCCGTCCATACCGCCGGCCGACGTCCTCCTCGACGACGGCGACGGCCGGTTCGAGGCCCGAGGCGGGGGCATCATGGGGATGGGAGGCGAAGGGGTCGAGGACGTCGGGGGGGGGTAGTACTCGGACCCCGGTCCCCTGACGCTGCCGCCGTAGTGGTGATCCGTCTCGGCGTCAGAGTAGGCCGACGGCTGCCTGGAGGCGGAGCCGTTGATGGACCGGGTGGGCTGGGACGACGACCAGAGCGAGTGCGGCGACGAGATGGACGTGTCCCTCCTGCTGCCGTGGGTGACGGACGACGTGGGCGAGCTGAAGGGCGGGATGGTCGACCACGTCTTGCGGCTGATCTCGCCAGCCTTCTTCTCCATCTCGGCGGTGATGGTGACGAGGTTGATGACGAGGCTGTTCATGTCCTGCGACTTGGCGTTGATGTCGTCAAAGGCGGCCAGCCAGCCGTCGGCGTTGCCCTTCATGGCGTCGAAGATGTCGACGAGGTCGGGCCGCTCGCGGCGCCAGGGCGCGTCGCGCAGCGAGTTGAGCCAGTCGGTGAAGGCTGTGGTGGCCTGGAGCCCGGCGTCGACGTCGTCGTCCCACTGCTTCATGGCGGCGTCGGTGCGCGACAGGACGTGGTCGAGCTTCTCGTTCCCGTCGAGGATCTCGGCGCGGTAGTTGCGGTCCTCGAGCATGTCCTCGAAGACTCGCATGTTGGACATGGGCAGCCTGAGGTGGTTCAGACGGTCCGTCAGGTCCGCCGTGGTGCACGTCATGTCGTCGAGCGTGACCTCGAGGAACTCGTCCATCTCGTTGATGTGGCCCTGCAGGATGGCGACGACCTGGGCGTTGTCGTTGGCCATGCTGTTCAGCAGCAGGTAGACACCGAACGAGATCTGGGCGACGAGCTTGAGCACCTCGTGCTCCCTCTGGCCGGGCCTGTAGCGCCACAGCGAGTCCAGGGCCGGCTCGTCCTTGCCCTGGCTCAGCAGGCGCTCCCTGCGGCCGGCGGCGTCCAGCTCCCTCAGCTTGGGCTTCTCGATGGTGCCGTGGGTGGCCTCCTTGAGGGACTCGGCAAAGGCGTCCTTGAGAGATTCGATCGGGTGGTTGGGCACCACCACGGGCGGCGGCGTCTCCCGGAAGGATTCTTGGTCGTCGTAGAAGTAGCTGTTGTGGGTGATGCTGCTGGCGATGCTGTCGCGGATGCTGTGACGTATGTGAATGTCGGAGTCGTCGACATCGAGCTTGAAGACTACCTCGGGTTCCGGCGGGGCGGATTCCTCCGCGGGCTCAGGCTCAGGCTCAGGCTCAGGCTCAGGCTCCCGCCACCGCGGCTGCCGGTCCTCGGACAGCGAAGAGGCACGATCGACGTCGGTGCCGCGTCCGGGCGTGAAGAAGATGGAGCCAGATGCTGAGTCGGGGTTGGCGAGCTGGGGCATGACGGGGGTGGTGACGGCATCACCATCGTGGCCGTAGGGCTTGACGTCGATTTCGGTCTGCCTCGAAGTATCGTGGTCTGCAGTCGTCCTTGGTCGAGACGGGGACGAGGACGAGGACGGGGACGGGGATGGGACCGAGAATTGGGACCGGGTCAGGGTGTCGGAATGGGAGGGCTCAGAGGAGTCGGGGCCGGCCCGAGTGTCCGGTGCCAGCTTGAACGCAATCTCCTGCATGAGCTCAGCCTGGTGCGACTCGCTGGTGGTCTCGTCGTGGGGGTCGCGACTTGCCGGCTCGTCCTCGTCTTGCTGCACAGGCAGGGGTGCTCGCCGTCCGCTGTCGTCGTCGTCGTCGTCGTCCTCCTCCTCCTCCTCCTCCTCCTCCCTGTGCTGCTGCTCTGCTGCGGCTCGGGTGAGCGGATCGGTCAGGTAGCTGCGGTCGTGGCGGTCGTGGCGGCCGTGGCGGCCGTGGCGGCCGTGGCCCTCCCCACTCTCGAGCGGCAGAGTCTCAGGTTCAGTTGGGGTCTGCTGCGTCGGGGGGGGAGGAGATGTAGTGTACAGGTTGTGGCGTCGGTCGTAGTCTTCGTGTTCGGTCTTGGTAGGTGACATTGGGGGTCGTTGTGTGGGCGTCAGGAGTTCCAGCTGCTGCTGCTGCTGCTGCTGGAGTATCGGTTCGTCGGTGTCGGGGGTCATGTCGGCCAGGAAGGAGGTGGCCTCTTCGGAGGCAGGCTGCTGCTTCTGCCGCTGTGGTTGTTGGGTAAGGACGTTGTGAGGAGCAGCAGCAGCAGAAGCTGCTGCTGCTGCTGCTGCTGCTGCTGCTGCGGTACGAGGAGGCCCGGGAGTGAGAGCAGCGGGGATGTGTCTTGTCTCCAGTGGCGAGGTGGGAGCATCGGTTGGGAATGGCGGTGGTGCTGCCTCTGGTGCGGCCGGTATCGTGTGCTCTGACTGGGCAGCATCTGAGACGCGATCGGCTTCGGATGCAGCTGCGGCGGCGGTGGTGGTGTTGGTGGGGGTGTGACCGGTGATGAGGGAGATGCGAAACCCGCCGTCGTCAAACTGCAGGGGAGGCAGCTGGATCGAGGCCATGGCGGCGGCGGCGGCTGCGGCGGCGGCGGTGGAGCGAGCAATAGGTTCTGACTACTGATACCGGTAGCAGTAGGCGGTGTTGTATGTATATATTTATATATATATATATATAGAAGGGGTATGTATATGTTGTGTTGGCGATGTGTCGAGGTTGTGCGTCGGCGTAGGGTGAGTAACCAGATCAGAGGGTCATATGTGTATTATTTCGGGTTCGGATGATGAGATGGAGACGACAGGAGAAAAGAAGGTAAGCAGCAGCAGGGTCAGGAACCATCGGTCCACTGGACCCTAACTAGTCAAGAGCGCGATATATGATTGACGAGGAGGGTGAGGAGATGAATATATACCAAAAGAGGCGGAGAAGAAGAAGGAAAAGAAGAAGGAGAAGAAGAAGAATAGAAATAGAAAAGAAGGAAAAGGAAAGAAGAAAAGAAAAGGTGAAGGAGAGAGAGAGAGAGAGAGTGTGTGTGTGTGTGTGGGTGGGTGGGTGTGTGAGGGAAACGTTGGTGGTTGCAAACAGGGGTTATTGGTTTATTGAATATTGATTGGGCAGGACTGGGGGGGTTGATTGAAGAGAGAGAGAGCGAGAGAGTTGACGGCGACAGCAACGGCACCCCGGGGGGTGGGTGAGCAGGTGGTACAGTAATAGGTATGGTATGGTATGATATGATGTGGTATGGTGCAGCTTCCGGATAACGCGTGTCGACGCGCTATGAATGGGATGGGAGAGCCTCTTATCAGGGAATGAAGTTATATCCGTGATTTTACGGCAGAGGATACGGAGTAAATTGTACGCTTGTTGAAACGTCTAAGAGGCGGGGGAGAAGTTGTAAAAAAAAAATTAAAAAAGAGTCACCGTTGTCTTTCTTTTTTTTTGTCTTTGTTGCGGTTGCCAATTGGCAATTGGTTTCCTCCGACTTTCCCTCTCTCGCTTGTCCACTGGAGAGTGATGAATTGGGGGGGGAACTGGCCCAGGGGAGGAGAGATGGAGGCTTTGCTGTGGCTGAGTCGGTGCGGGTGGGTGTGTGGTCCGCTGATGCTGACGAGGCTGGTCTTTTTTCTTTGGGGCGGGGGGTGGATCGATCAGTTCGGGAGATTGGGAATGACGGGACAATGGTATGTCATGTTCTACTCATCGGTAAAGATGGAGTATCGGTATACGTACAGGTAGGAAGAAGAAGAAGAGAGGAAGAAGAGGAGGAAGAGGAAGAAGAGGAGGAAGAAGAGGAGGAAGAGAGAGAGAAGAAAAGAAAAGTTGATAAGAGACAATGCTGTTCAGGCTCCCTCCTTAAGATCTGCTAATACCTCTCCTAGTAATACGGAGTGATGCTATTATTACGAAGTAATTAATACGCACGGGTACTGATATTATTCTATTCCTCTTTTTTTTTCTTCCTTTCTTTTGCCTTCTTTTTTTCCTACTCCAACCTCTGATGGCAAATGTCAGATCCTTTGCAACTATGATTCATTAGTCGACTCCGTAATACTGCTCTATCCCTCCATCTTCCATTACACGTAATGCTCATACCTGTCAACCGTCTAGAGAACCTGGACAGTCCCCGCTCGTCTTGGCAGGCACAAAAAAGTCCTCTACGGAGTGATAACTCGGCCATGTACTGTGATATTACAGGCACTGCAGAGAACTCCTCGCCTGTCATTGATACCATAAGTAATCTGTACATGTTAGGATACTCTTAGACTCCCACCGTCCCGTGTCCCCCCCCCCCCCCCCCCCCCCCCCCCCCCCCCCCCCCCCCCCCCCCATCTTCTCTTATTGTAGGTTATGTATTATACTATTCCTACTCCTACTCTAATACTCCGTGTCGCTGCTAAAGAATCGAACATGTAAAAACATCACCACTCACCAGCCACTCACCAGCCACATGCACGACTCCTCTCCCCCCCAAGACTCCAAGACTCCGTACTCCATACGCTCCATACCCCATCATTCATTACACATGATGCCAAGACTACCAAGACCATTACTCGTACCCGTACAGAGTACTATTAATCAACACTCACCCGTTATACTGTACAGATCCCATCCATGGTGACGTGCAATACGAGCATGCAGCATCACCTCGTAAATTCATATACCGAGTAGTAGTCATAGCACCTACCACTCATGTTCTCTATCGATACGAGCATCATTGCTCCTCCATACGACGTATGGACTTTTGTGCTCAACCATCACAGCCCCACTACTGTCTACGCTGTCTACCACTACCGCCTGACAGCGTCTGTGTTTGATAGTACTATATATATGCAGTTAGTAGTAGTAGTAGTAGTAGTAGTAGTAGTAGTAGTAGTAGTAGTAGTAGTAGTAGTAGTAGTAGTAGTAGTAGTAGTAGTTCGTAGTAGCAATATCAGTAGTTAGTGGCAGTAGTAGTAGTAGTGATGCCGCATGTGCATGTGCCGGCGTGGTGTCATGCGCAAGACCGACCACCTCCATACCGACGACGGTAAATATAGCAGCAATGCCAGCAGTGCTAAGAATGGCATCGATCCTGACCGATGCCGGACAGCACTCTCCTTCCGTGGTGGACCGATGCTGCCATTATCATATCCTAGTACGGCATACGCTAACACTTGATCGTCACCCCTATCCGCCGCTCATGCTGCCGAATCTCAAACATGACTTGGATACCCACAAACAGGCACGCGCAGGACGCGAGGATGAACATCACCCCCGACGAATCCTTCACGATCCTCTCGAGTATCACCTGGAGCCCATCCAGTCCCAGAGCAAACCCGACGAGGTTGGCGCAGATCATCATGATCACGTTGGCCACCGCCCCGGCGCAGCACAGCATCCGGTACGCCGTGGGGTTCGACTCCCACCGCCGCGCCGGCAGCAGATACGACGCCGTCCACTCGGGCAGCATGAAGAGGACGATCAGCCAGCCCCAGATGAGAAGGCGCAGCTGTATGTCGTGCCACAGCGCCACAAACGTGAAGACGAGCAGGTACGTGACAATCGACTTGGCCGTCTTGCGCCAGCTGCCGAACCCGGCCCCGCCCATGGGCACGTAGATGTACCGGATCAGCCACCGGTTATACGACCGGTGCCACGACCGCCAGAACAGCTGCGTGCTGTAGTTGTTGCTCACGCACCGCACCATGTTCTCGGGCGGGTCGATGCCGTCCGCCAGCGACCAGAGCCGGAAGAAGCGCCAGGGAATCAGCAGTTTCAGCCAGATTATGTGCAGGTTCATAAACGAGAGCAGCGTCAGCTCCTGGGCCGTGTACGACCGCCACTTGGGCTTCGATTTGCTGATGGCCCCCACGTAGTTGAAGTGCAGCACGAGCTCCATGGCCAGCAGCACCAGCAGGAACCGCACCGCATACCGCACCGTCCGCGGCTTCTCGATGCTGGCTGCCCGGTACTTGGACTGCGAGACGTAGTCGTTGAACGTCAGGATCGGTCCCGCCAGGTACAGCGGCGCGTACGCGGCGTAGGCGATGTAGTTGCGCATGCTAAAGTCCCGGGGGTCGGCCGGGATCGTCACCCTGTCCCGCTCCGAAAGCTGGGACGGGTCCAGCTGCTTCTTCTTTGGTCTATCAGAGTCGGGTCCTGCAGATATCATCGTGATCGGACTCTGCAGCTTACCTCGAGCACAACTGAGCTCCGCTTGTCGATACTCCAATAGTAATCGAGGTTGAAGCTGATGAGCCTGAGAATGGTGATGTTGAACAGGATCTCCCATCGAGACATGATGCCGCCGTAGCCGTCGAGCCAGGCGCCCAGGGAGACTAGAGGCGGGGCCAGCAGCCGAGCAATGGCCTCGTACCTGTATCCGGTGCACAGCTCATTGGCAAACAGGACCGAGATGTTGAAGACCCAGGTGGCGACGGGAATGTACTGTCGGGGAAGCCTCGTCGCGAGCCTGTGGTTGACGGTGAGGATGAGCAGCACCTTCAGGGCCGAGAAGCCGTGAAGGGCGACGAGATAGAAGAGGCCAAAGGCATAGTCAAACGAGACCCGCTGCTCGAGGCGAGCTGCCCCGACGTCGCGCAGTCTGCCCAGGACCGGGTAGCGGCTGTTCCAGACCCTGCGTAGAAGCGGATGGAGCAGCAAGAGCAGGGCCATGTACGGGATATTGGAACGGAAGGTGTTGTATTGGGCGTCGGTGATGTCGATCTTACGGCCGGGAACCCATCCATCTGACAGGCGCTTGACGTATTTGTGATATCTGGGATCCGAAGCTGCGACGTGACGAGATGAGCATCAGCATGAGAGGCGGGGAGCGGACAAGGAGGGGTTCTGTTTGGGGGGCCGACATACGCCTCGAGACGGTATAGGGGACCCAGAACATGTAGGGGACAGCGAGGGCGAAGATGACGTAGTAGAAGTAGAATTCCGGTGTGCGCCATCGTGGAGGGGGCACGCGCGGCTCTGCACGGCCGTCTGCAGGAGGAGGCTGGCTGATCGAGGGTACGGCATCTTGGCGGGCATCGATGATGGTCTGGTAGGGTACAGACGATGAGGTGGTGAAGCGCGTGTCAAGCGTGTCTAGCTTGTAGAGGCTTCCGAGGAAGGTCAGAAGACCCATTATTGGCTATCTCGGGTCGGCCTTTCAGAGGCTTCAGGTCATGTCGGACAGATGGGAGAGAGACAGACGTCGGTGTGAATTGACGATGCTGTGGATGAGAAAGGGGGGGGGGGGGGGG